TTCTTGCTTTGGGCTTACATCAGGTATAGTATCAGAGGTCCCTGAAACACTTTAGCAGGGATGTTAGCACTTTGCAATCTGGAAAAGAAAGACCCTGAGTTGGCATCAGCTTTAGACAATAAGCAGGCTCTTTTGTGATGTCTGTTTCATGAAAAGGGAGCTTTTCCTTTATACCTGCAAACACATTCATAGAATGCCAGAGGCGGGGGGTCACTTTCTATTAACCACTTGCTGATTTTGAGATAAGCCTTCATAAGCTCTGTGTAGAGCACTTAAGTTGCTATTAGGGTAAGTCCTTTGGATGCACAACAAAAGATGTCATACTGCCTTACCTTGGTCTCCAAGAGGTTAAACCCTGCTGTTTCCATAGTGCCTGTGAGCTACATTTGAAATCAGCATTTATTTTCTTGTTCTGAGCCTATTCTTTCCTAATTAACTTAGTGCTTATAATGTTTATATCCTACTGGGAAAATATGTAGGGAAAACCTAAAAGGACTAAGGTAGAAAAAGGTTAAAGCATTAATTTGAGTTTAAAAGAATATGCTCCTCATTCAACGTTCATGACATTTACTTTTACTTATTTTTCCTGGGGTAAGTTATCTTTCAAAGGAGTCTATTCTCCAGACTTCAGCGGAGAGCTGATTTTGAAAGAAGTCGTTTTCTCTGAATTGAGTGCTGACCTTTGCTTTATTTTTACAGAGGCATCCCTTCTCTCCTTGCTGCTGCCCTCCCATGTTTTACAATTACGCCTGTCTTAAGTCGATTTATGCTTTCTGTGTGGCTCCAGAGAGGGTTAGCCTGTGCCCAGCTGTTTTGGATTTACATACGACTTGTCTCTGCGAAGTCTTGCCAGAAAATGGCTTCATCAATGCAGGATAGCACAGGTTACTTTGTGAGCATAGAGATATACATTTCCTTCTAGGAAATATACCAATTTAAATTTCCATCTGCTCTTCCTGGATTTATAATATTTACCAAGGAGGTTACGCATCTGTCCTGCCTACTCCTCACTATTCCACATGATTTACTTTTACTTGGCTATAAGCAATAAAAGGTGATGAAGAAGATAGAGATGATTCATTTCTAGGTGCCATGAGGAAATGTGAGAGCACAGTTTTCTTCTTTTTCACCGAAGATGAAGGTTTAAAAGTAATTTTTCCCATTTGATCATTCAATCCTGAAGATAAGCTTCAGGAAATACCAGCTGCTTAGAATTTATTTTTTAAGACTTTTTTAAAGAGCAGTTTTAGGTTTGTAATACAACTGAGAAAGAGGTACAATGATTTCCAAGTTATGCCCTTGCTCCCACACATGCATAGATGGCCTCCCCCGTTATCAATATCGTTCACCAGAGTGGTCCTTTTTTTTTTTTTTTCCTTTTTACCAAGGGTGAACCTATACTAACACATCATCATCCCCCAATGTTCATAGTTCACCTTAAAAATCATTCTTAGTGTTGTATATGATAAGCTTGTGGACAAATGTATAATGTCATGTATCCATTATTATAGTATCATAAAGAGTATTTTTACTGCCCTGAAAATCCTCTGTTTTGCCTATTTATCCACCCCCCCATCCCCTCCACCTCTGGTAATCACTAATTTTTTATTGTCTCCATAGCTTTTTTTTTTTTTTTCCAAAATGTCATATAGGTGAAATCAGATCATATATAGCCTTTTCAGATTGTCTTATTTCACTTAGCAATATGCATTTAAGGTTTCTCTGTCTTTTCATGGCTGGATAGCTCTTTTCCCTTTAGTGCTGAGTAATATTCCATTGTCTGGATGTACTCCTGTTTATCCATTTATCTACTAAAGGGCATTTGGTTGCTTCCAAGTTTTGGCAATTATGAATAAAGCTGCTATAAAGATTATGTGCAGGCTTTTGTGTAGACCTAAGTTTCAACTCCTTCCAACCAATAATGAATCAGAGTTCCTGTTTCTCCCTATCCTTGCCAGCTTGGGGAGTTGCCCATGTTCTGGACTTTGGCCATTCTAATAGGTATGTAACTGTACCTTATTGTTGTTTTAATTTGTATGTCCCTGATGACATATGCCATGGAACATTTTCTCGTATGTTTCTTTGCCACCTGTATGTCTTCATTGTGGAGGTGTCTGTTAAGATCTTTGGCTCGGGGTGAGCAGGTGGCTCAGTTGGTTAAGCATCTGACTTCAGCTCAGGTCATGATCTCAGAGTCCTGAGACTGAGCGCCTTGTTAGGCTCCCCACTCAACAAGGAGTCTGCTTCTCTTTCTCTATCTCGGCTCTTCCCCCTGCCTGTGTTCTCTTTCTCTCTCAAATAAATTAAAAAAATCTTTAAAAAAAAGTTCTTTGGCTCATTTAATGATCAGGTTGTTTGCTTTCTTAGTTTTTTTTTTTAAAGATTTTATTTATTTGACAAACAGAGATCACAAGTAGGCAGACAGGCAGGCAGAGGTAGAGAGGAGGAAGCAGGCTCCCTGCTGAGCAGAGAGCCCGTTTCGGGGCTCGATCCCAGGAGCCTGGGATCACTACCTGAGCTGAAGGCGGAGGCTTTAACCCACTGAGCCACCCAGCCGCCCGTTTTCTTATTCTTGAGTTTTAAGAGTTTCTTTTTACATATTTTGGATAGCATTATTTTATCAGATATGTCTTTGGCAAATATATTCTCCTAGTCTATAGCTTGTCTTGTAATTCTCTTGATTTTCTCTTTTGCACAGCAGAAAATTTTAACAAACTCTAGCTTATCAGTTATTTCTTTCCTGGATTGTGTCTTTGGTGTTGTATCAAAAAAGGCATCACCATACCCGAGATCACATGGGTTTTCTCCTATGTTATCTTCTAGGAGCTTTATAGTTTCATGTTTTATATTTAGGTCATTATATAGGTCATATATTTAAATCATAATCCATTTGAGTTATTTTTGTGAAGGGTATAAGGTCTGTGTCTAGTGCCTTTTTTCTTTTCTTTTTTTGCATATGGATGCCTAGTTGTTCCAGCACCATCTGTTGAAGGGACTATCTTTGGTCTATTGTATTGCTTTTGCTTCTTTGTCCAAGACCTGTTGACTCTATTTATAGATTAGCATTTATTTTTTAACCAATCCACGAAGTTTTCACCTACTCTTCTTGCAAAAAATAGTAACGTTGGTTAATGCATTGGATGGATATGAACATCAATCATTTCAAAAAGGAAAGTTGGATCATGTTTTGGATCATAACTTCAGTTTAGTATGACAGCAAACTGATTGTAACCTCCGTCCTTCCATCGTCTCCAAGATTGACATGACTGACCTTGCTGGCCAGGTGGGGAGCCCTTTCTACCCAAGCATGTGGCTCCATCCTGAAAATGCTTGCTCAGCTAAACAGGATGCCCTTCCAAAAGATGGAGGGGTATATGAGTACTTATATTTTATTTAAATTAAATCCTTTCTCATCCATTACTTTCTAAACTGTTTTCTTTTATTCCTTGGCCTATGCAATGGAAGTTTTTAACCTGGAGTCTGTGGACATCTAGGCTGCACTTGAATGGATTTTAGAGGATCAACAGTCTTTTCAGAAACCACTTTGGGGAATGTGCAGATGTCTATTATTCTCAGGGAAAGTGTTCATAGTGCTTATCAGATTCCTAAAGGGTCTTGTGAACCCAAATGATTAAAGCCACTGTTAACCACTCATGTTAAATTCTATGGCTCAGATAATTCTGATATTTTACAGAATTATACCTAACACAAGGGGCAATTAAACTGTGAAGTATTAACTCTCTATAACATGATTTATGTTTAGGTATTTGCATGTGTGGATATTGCATAACTTTCCTTTGATCTTTCTTCTGAAAAACCTTTGAGGCTTTGAAAGTTTGGTTCAATGTAAATCACTGTCATCACACCACCAAGGTGAATCCTTGTGTACAACCACACGATCTGGACACTGAGAGCTGAGAATCACCATCAGCTACTCTTCCATGCCTCCATAAATCTTAAGAAAAATATGACTGAATTAAAAAGTCTAATGATAAAGATTAAAATCTTAGCTATACATTTCCTTTTAATTTCCATTTCTATGTGGAATCTAAAAAAGGGCAAAAAGTTTAACTCCTAGAAATAGCGAGTAAGAAAAGTGGTTGCCAGAGGCTGGGGGTGGGGAGATATGGAGGGGTTAGAGAAGAGGACAAACTTTCAGTTACAAGATGAATAAGGTTTGAGGATCTAACTGTACAACATGGTGACTATAGTTAATAACACTACTGTATAACTGAAATTTGCCAGGAGAGTGGAATTTAAATGTCCTCATGGGGGGTGCAGGGGGGCTGGGGAGGCAACTATGTGAAGTGATGGATGTATAACTTACTTGATGGGGGGAGTCTTTTCAATATATATATGTATATATATATATATATATCAATCAAAAGATTGATTTAAAAATCAATGTGATGATTTTATATATATATAAAATCATGCGATGATTTAAAAATCAATGGGATGATTTTATATATACATATATAAAATAAATTAAAAAAATAAAATCATCACATGATTTTATATATATATATAAAATCTCACATTGATTTTTAAATATCACATTGACATTTTAAATATCTTACAATTTTGGGGTGCCTGGGTGGCTCAGTCACTTGAGCATCCACCTCTTGGTTTCAGCTCAGGTCATGATCTTGTGTGTCATAGGACTGAGCCCTACATTGGGCTCCATGCTCACCGGGGAGTCTGCTTTAGGATTCTCTCCCTCTGCACCCCCCCCACTTGTGTGTACATGCACTCTCTCTCTCTTTCTCAAAATAAAATAAGATAAAATCTTAAAAAGAAAAGAAATACAATATTTTCAGCACATATGGTCAATACTGGCCTCGCACAACCCTGGATTTTTGTGGACCTAAGTGAAGGAAAAGTAAAGCAGATAGTAATTTGGGCCTGTGGAGAAGCAAGGGAAAGCAAGAGTAAAACACTTTAATTAGATCTGATTGTTAATACAACCAAACAAAAATAGGAAAAGTACCATAGGGTTAATTAGAATTAATGTCTAAGGTCTGGTAAAGAGTGAGACATAAATGTGGAAAAAAATTTAAGGCAGCTGGAAAAAAAAAAAAAAAGAATCACTTTGTTTCTCTTGGTTTACTATGTTCCTAGTGGATCTGCAACTCATGAAGCTGCAGTGTGAATTATTTTTGTGTAACCCAGAGAATATAACACAATTTTTAATTTCCTTGGAACCTCTTCCTAATAATTAAGATGTTCTGCATTGGAAGCCCCACACTGGCTTATAAAATTGGAATGTAACTGTTAATTTTAGTTCGATGTCTTTGTGAAATGCATTCTGCTATCCACACAATATTTCTCATTTCTTGTTCCTTCAGCTTTGTGTATGCGTAAAACACGCCATAGTGGAACTGCCTGTTGAATGCCAGCACGTTCATTTGTACCTGAGGAAGGAAAAAAACCAATGAAGACCATCACTTATCAGGAGTATACAACATTTATGAAATAATATTAAACTTCAGACTGGCTTGTATTTGTACAGTGCTTATTTGTATTTAAATAGGCAACGTCCAGGGTTGCCGGGGTGGCTCAGTGGGTTAAGCCTCTGCCTTCAGCTTAGGTCATGATCTCAGGGTCCTAGGATGGAACCACTGCATTGGGCTCTCTGCTCAGCAGGGAGCCTGCTTCCCCCTCTCTCTCTGCCTGCCTCTCAGCCTGCTTGTGATCTCTCTCTGTCAAATAAATAAGTAAAATCTTTAAAATAAATAAATAAATAAATAAATAAACAAACAGGCAATGCCCAAATTGGACCAAATACAGGAAAATGGTAGCAATTCATCAAGTTCTAAAGGGAACTTTAGTGTCACTCTACAGATAAAGATAGACAATAGTAGTTTAAAAAGTAACTTTATAAAAAATAAGTAAAATAAAGTGGGTTTATAGAATCACTAGACAAACTCCAAATCTTCACAGCATTGCTAGCACAAAGATTCCCGGGAAAATCTTAGTGTTTGTGTATGTATGTGGGGAACTTTGTAGCAAAAATATGGTTGGCTTCTAGCTAGTGGGCTTGCCTCATTTAGGTAAACCACTTTTCCTAGGCCACAACTTTGAAAATGTTAAAAAGGTTTGCAGGCTGCCTAACTCTCCTCCAGGGCAACCTCACAGGCCTCTGGAATTTGGAGCGAGTGACATAAGGAGCTTTCTTAGGATGCTTGGTAGCAATTTGACATTCGGTTAAATTGTTGTTTTTGCTGTTGTTGTTTTTCTGCAGAAGGTACCTCAGTAAAAGACAACTTAAAAAAATTGTGTAACTGATGTAAAGTCTGAAATGGAACAATTCTTTTATTCCATTCCATTTTGAAAAAAGGATGAGAGGTACTGCGTCCCTCCCACAGTTCTGAAAGTGTCAAGCTAAGTATTGAGGAAGTGGAAGACTTCCTGAATGCTTTCAGCAACAGACACTTATTTTTTCTGTGAAGGGCCACTTTCTTAACAGCCTTCTTTGAAGCGGTTGTGCAACAGTGTGAAATTTTAAAAACCTCCCTAATATATGGGATATTTTTACATTGTTTTTACTTCTTTGTATGACAGGCACTAGAGAGTTGTTTGAGGATGTCTGGAGTAGGACTTAGAGGAAGAGGCCTGAACTGCTTTCTGGAGCCAGTCCTACTCTAAATTTGGGTAAAATTTCAGGGTTTTCTGTCAATCAACTGAAAGGGAAGGGCCAGTGGTTTTAGAGAAATGAATAAAACACACTAGAAAAATTCTCCAGATTTGAGAGACCTTATCTGGTATCCCCATCTCCCTCAAAAAAAGCCCTTTGTTGAATAGTTAATAGCCCAGGAATTGACTATAAATGGATTAAATACTCTTCTGTTTTTCAGGGAAAGAGAATAGTCTAGACTCTCCAGATAGAATTCCATGCAAATAATTCCTAAGTGTTATAACTGTGTTCCTAAATTGTATTATAACCATAGACAAATCCTTCTTAAGGGATGGATTAGGGTGAGATGCACATAACAGAGTGTACACCATGAGGATAATCCATACATGATCATAAGAATGTCCTACTTCTGATTCTTTAGTTAATTATGGAATAGCTGCATTCTTTCCAGAGCTTCGCTATGTGTTCTGGATAGGACACACTGTGTTTTTGGCTAGGACAAGTCAACAGGAAGCCATCATATGTGAACCACTGGGCCTCCAAGGCAGAGAGACACTAATACCCATTTGGCTGTCAAATTGTGAAAGTACTTAATCAGCTGAATTGATCAACTGAAAAAAGAAGCCCCCCAAAAGAAAACCCAAAGTAAGAAACATCTAAAACTGAGAGTAAAAGCACACATAAGCTAATAGCATTTCCATTTATATCATACCTCATGCTCATAAAACACATCTTCCAATGTCTTTCCTCCACTGCCATCACCCACAGCCTCAAACAAAGGCTTGTATACCTAAAAAACAGAGGCTATTTTTAAACAGATTCTCATTTCTTATAAATATGTATGAAGATATTTTCCTAGCAATATAGAAATGATGTCTCTCTTCTAATCTACCCGGAAGGACTGAATGATTTTTTGTGAGATCTTTGGCCTCCTGAAAACAATACCAAAAAACCCAGATAAAAGAGTATGGATGGATATCTAGCCTACTGGCTTATTCACGCCTAGAGGGGAAGAGGCAAGAGCAAGTCTACTCTGCATATACTTAGATGAGCTAATTTCTGCATTAGGTTCTTAGGGCTGGATGGGCACATTATAGAGGATAAATGAATGCTGTGGGTTCATGAACCCATCATGGGATGGGTTCATGGGTTCTTTGAAATGAAATTGATAAAATTCACATGGAATTTCAAGTGTGGAAGGGATGGAAACTGGGGAGAAGCTCGAAATTTAATATTATGCTAAAAAGCCTCTTGTGATGACATAAGCTACTACAAAGATTTATGCAGTTTGCTGACTTCTCTTTCCCAGAAGGCTTCAGAAACCCGTAAGAAAAGATAAGAGTGTCATCCCAGTTCTGGAAAAGTTACCCGGAGGGCATCATGTCACCGTAAGTCAGAAGGAATGGAATTAGGGGATGAGCTGAGAAGCCGCAGGCTCTTAAGAGAGCATTTGGATGTGGAGTAGGGGAACAACATAGCAGCCCTCCTTTCATCCCCTATTTCTGGCCCTGATTAAAGGGAATGGTAGAAACCAGTAGGTCCATATTCTCCCTTGCATTTCAAGTAGACATCCTGTACCTGAGTGTGTCTACCCAATGGGTTAGGACTGCTGGGTCAGGCTCTTTTTTGTAACTTTGACATGAGCTCACATATCCAGAACACTGCCCCAGTCCCTTGGGGAACTTGCTCTATGAAGCACTTCAAAAGACCTGTTCAAATGACTGCTCCTTGGAGATTTAAACAAGTACTTGCTTGGCAGGAACCTCCAAAAGGAAAAAAAAAAAAAAGAGAGAGAGAGAAAGAAAGAAAGAAGAAAAACCCATGGAAATTTGAAGTACTTCTTTGGGAGAAGTTCTAGAATGACATTGCTTTCTACCTTAAGAACGTAACTGCTTTAGAGAAGACATGTAAATTTAATGTGTGAACTTCTAAAGTACAGGTAATGAAATGTGAGAAATTCAGGGTGCCTGGTGTAGTTACATACCCCATAATGCTCTGCTACTCTCCTCATCTGATCAAAGTCTTCTGCTTGAGCCAAAAGGCGCAACCCTTCAGGATAGAGCTTGCCACAGGTCGGGTAGAGGGTCTCCCGGTCGTCTTTGCTCAATTCAGTGCCAAAGGAGTTAAGAGTGATGATAAAAGCACGCCTGTCAGCCTCAAACTGAATTTGCAAGACATAAAATCAGTGAAATCTAACCATGTACAAAATGCTATAAACAGAACCCTAAGTAGACAAATTCATTTCCACAGTGATTTGCTTTTCTTTCCAGATTTTTGTCTAATTGTAATACAAACATGTGTTATTAATGTTCCCTTAGCCTTTTTTTTTTTTTTTAAAGATTTTATTTATTTATTTTGACAGAGAGAGAGAGAGAGAGAGAGTGCGCCAGCATGAGCAGGGGGAGTGGCAGAGGGAGAAAGAGAAGCAGAATCCCCTGCTGAGCAAGAAGCCCAAGGAGAGGCTGGATCCCAGAAGCCTGGGATTGTGAACTGAGTGGAAGGCAGCTGCTTAACCGACTGAGCCACCCAGGTGCCCCAACCCTTAATGGAATAATTTTGCTTGCCAGAGAAGGATGACACAGTGTTAATGGTCCATGACTCTTGAAACCCCACTGAACTTTACCTCCCAGGCACTCTGCAATTAGTTACTCATGGGTCTCTGTCGCATAGGTCACTAGAATCTCAAATGTCTCTTCCATAAAAATGGGAATAGTACCTATTTGCTGGGGTCTGTCCAGGGATAGGACAAGATAAGTGGAAGTGCCTGGCAGGGTGTCTGGTACAAAGAGTGTGTGTTGTAAGTGTTAACATCTCTTTCTGGTTCCGATGTTAGGATTTTTTTTTTTTTTTTAACCTAATGAAGCTTTATACTACTTACCATTTGTTTGTACTTTGGTGGTTTTGGTTTTCTTCTTGAAAGTCCTAGGTTGGATATCAATCAGTCTAACTGTGTAGCTCAGGATCATTTGGCCCAGGACAAGGTACCTTCCTTTCAGGCCTATCTCCTCACCTGGACCTCATGCTCTCCCAGGTCGGCCGCATATACTCAGGTCCTGTCTTTGTGCTGAGCACCACCGGGCACCTGAGCAACCAGCTCCATGTCAGGCCGATTTCCTCTAACCACTCAGTTTTTCTTGAAATTTCTTACTATTCCTTTCAACTCAATGTTTCTTTTGTCTCTTGGTTCTCTTCCTATGTCCTCTGACCATACCTTCTTAGTCTGTCCTTCATGGGATCCTCTCTGCCTATCATGGGAGTTTCTCATAGTGTCCTTGAGCTGAGAAATTCTCCATCTACCTGAAACACCCTGCACTTACAGTATTTTAAAATCTGGAAATTATTTTTCTCCTTACTACACTGTAAAATCTTTGAGGGAAATCATGTTACTCTTGTTTATTGTTTATTTTTTAATATCCAGTGCTTGAAATGTACAAAGACCACAACTATTTACTGAATCCAATACAGTGATCTGTGATTCTACTACTTTCAAAATTCTCCAATATTCTCTATAATGTTGCTACTCAAGGTGTGTTTCTTGGATGGGTAGCTTTGATGTCACCTAGAGGCTTGTTAGACATGCAGTCTTGGGGTGGCTCTGTCAGTTAGGCGTCCCACTCTTGTTTTTGGCTCAGGTCATGAGAAAAAGAAATGCAGAGTCTCAGGCCATTGTCCAGCCCTACTAAACCAGGGCTTGCATTTTAACAGGATTCCAAGGTTATTTGTTCGCAAACAACAGCTGAAATAAATTGTTCTACTTTGATCAGCTTACTTTTGACGAATTAACAAATCCAGACTTGCAACAGATTTTACTGGAACTCTCTGGTTAGAACAGGTGTTTCCTATCAGGAGGGTGAGGGTTGGTTCCTTCTGATCCTTTTGACTGACCTCATGGCAAGTATGGGTGACCCACAATCAGGAAGAGACCTCATTTAGAAGCAAAGGCAGCTGCCCCTGGACACTGAATGTAACTGTCAGGAATTTTAGGCCTTCCAGGGACAGAAGAAATGCAAGAGGGAGATTTCAAGGCAATCGGAAATCTTGAAATAAAAATTAGAGCAGGAGGACCAACAATAGAGTTAATTGTCCCACATGCCCTTTAATGTGCTTTCTAGTTCTAAGACGTTGGAGTTTTGTTTTTTTTTTTCACTCCCCCCCACCCCAGTTTTATTGAACAATCATTGACATGCACTGCTGTAGAAGATGTTAGGGTTTTCAGGAGAGCAGCAGGGTGGACTGGACTAGGCAGCATTGCAGACGAGCCTAGCAGCAGAGGCTGCTGTAGAGGAGGAAGGCGCATGAAGTTAAAGCACGACGCATGGAGGAATGGTCTTGGGCAAAGCACTGGGAAAGCAGGTGAAGAAGTAGGCTGCACTGGGTACCTGGACAGGTAGTTGGGAAGAGAAAAGGCTTCACAGGCTATGCCAAGAGAGGACTTTGATTGATACAAAGGTTCTCTGAACTTGCCAACTTCATTTTCTTGTAAATACTTCTTTCTCTTTGCCTACAGTGTGTGTCCTTCCTACCAGAAACCTCCATGTTGAAACCTTATGGGCACTGGAGGGTCCCATCAAATGCCACTTTTTTTTTTTTTTTTTAACAAGAAGCCCTTTTATTTCCTCCCCAATTTGATATGATTTCCTTTGAATTCCTATTATCCTTTAATTTCCCTTTTACTATAATTGCCTGATATATCTACCTTAGAAATTTTTTCTAGTCTGGAGGTTCTGTGCGTGCGTGCGTGCGTGTGTGTGTGTGTGTGTGTATTCTTAGTGAAAGGAGCTATAGTCTTGAAATTGTAAAAGGGCTATCTTGTGTTTGACCATCCCTAAGCAGACAGTTTGACACAACATCTGATTACGGATGAGAGTAAATGGGTGGTATTCGATTTCACTTAAGCCTTCTCTGTTATTTATGGAGGGCTGGCTTCCTGTGTGGCACAGATGATGCCAGATGTCCTATGTCCTTTCACTCTTCCTTACACTCATTCATTTTAAAACCATAACTTATTTTGTGTTATTGTTGCAAAAGTATACTGTTGATGTATTCAAAATCATTATCAGTTGCACATGATCGAGTTGGGCTGATCAGGACACATTCTTGCTAGTTCATTATTGGAGGGCAGGAATACCTCGTGGGGATAGTGGGTAGAGGGGCTGATGGCCGTGGAAGAGAGGGAAGCGAACGGGAATCGAACCCAGCCTCGCTAGCTCGGGAAGATGAAACACACTTATTCTAAGCTTGTTTTTCACTGTTTCGTTAAACATACAGGTTGTCAGAAGGGCAAAGACAAATAATAAAAGGCACAAAGGCAAACGTTAAACTGCAGTACACTTGTCTTGAACATAAGTCAATTTCTTTTTTTTTTTTTTTCATGTGAAGTCACAATCTTGTAATTAGGTCAAATTTTTGCATGCAAGCCCAGGTTAACAGTGTTCTCTTTTACCATACTGAGTTTCCTGAAGTATCCTGTCAACTGAGATTAAATAAGGACAGACTTGCAAGAACTCTGTAACTGGAAGTGCGCTACTGGTGCACAAGTAAAACGGGGGCTAATTACATGATCTGATATATTTATGTAAATATGGCAATTTATTTATTTATTTTTTAAAAATACATCAATTTATATAAATTGACAGATCTCTTCTGATCATATCATTAGAGACATCACAACTGCATGCTAGTGTAATAATGCTTTTACATAAAGATAGTTAAATGTACTTTTATTTTGTTTTATTTTTTTAAAGATTTTATTTATTTATTTGACAGAGAGAGAGAGAGATCACAAGTAGGCAGAGGCAGGCAGAGAGAGAGGAGGAAGCAGGCTTCCCGCTGAGCAGAGATCCCGATGCGGGGCTCGATCCCAGGACCCTGAGATCATGACCTGAGCTGAATGCAGAGGCTTAACCCACTGAGCCACCCAGGTGCCCCTGTACTTTTATTTTTAACACAGCTTGAAGAAAACCTAATCTAATGTGGTAGTATCATGGGCATAGGAAAGGGATAATGGGAAAACTGGGTATATAGTTTGATCAAACGCTTATAGTGATAAGGATTCTTCTAATACTGTGCTGTCCTTTCTACATTACTGAGGATTACAGAGACATAATTCTTACCCAGTTCTTATTTTTATAGCACATGCAATATGATCTTGCTCATGAATTAGCACTTTAAAAGAAAAAAGATTTTATTTATCTGAGAGAGAGAGAGAGCACAAGCAGGGGGCATGGAGGAAGGAAAGGGAGAAGCAGGCTTCCCACTGAGCAGGGAGTCCAATGCAGGGCTGGATCCCAGGATCCTGGGATCATGACCCGAGGGGAAGGCAGATGCTTAACTGAGTCACCCAGGTGCCTCGAATTAGCACTTACTTTTATCCAAGAATTGCGAATGGTGAAGTTAATGTAGAGGTAATATAGTGGACAAACACAGAGGATCTGGAGCTAGGCTACCTGGGTTCAAATTCTGACGTTACCACTTATCAGCTATGTGTCCTCTGGAAAGTTACTAGCTTTCTTTGCACTTGTCAGTTCTGAGAAATAGATACTAAACTCCCATGTTGTTGTGTTGTTTTTTAGATTTTCATTGTGCTGTTTTTTTTTTTTTTTTTCAGATTTTTTAATTTATTCATTTGAGAGAGAGAGAGAGCACGAATGGGGGGAGGGTCAGAAGGAGAGGGAGAAGCAGGCTCCCTCCCGAACAGGGAGCCTGATGTGGGACTTGATCCCGGGACCTGGGATCATGACCTGAGTCGAAGGCAGATGCTTAACCAGTGGAGCCATCCAGGTGCCCTCATTGTGCTGCTTTGAAGTCCAAGTGAATTCAAGTATATAAAGCAGCTAGGATATTATCTGGCACATAATAAATGTTAACTATTAATAGTGTCATTTTACATCTTCTGTAAGGTTATGAGTTTTGCCATAGCTCTTATTTCACATATTTTGTACGTATAAAGCACACAAGCCATTTCTAAACCACAGGAATTATGTCAGTAGAAATTACATTTTCAAGCCATAGATAATGTGGCTTCTTATAGGGTAGCTAGCAGTTAAAAATTTATGACAAGGAGAGTGCTTCATAGGGCCAGCAGGTCACTTATGTTATGTGATCAGAATGTCTGAAAGAGACTAGCTCACTTTCTGACATTTAGTATACCATAAAAAATGTTATTTATTTATCCATGCCCACTTCCTGTGTAATATAGATAAAGGCAAAAAAGATTTCTTGGAGTTTTCCAGTGATAAATTGTTACTTCAAGGACTGCTTTTGCTTGAAGAGTTTCAACAGGGGATAGCAAAGTATCTTTAACTGTAAAATTTTAATGATTAGATGTTTTGAAGGAACTAATTTTATCATATGCAGTTTTAGAAATTAATTTAAAATATATGCAGATGAAGTTATTCAGGTTTTTTGTTTTTTCCTTTTTTTGCCTAAAGGGCAGTTCTTATCAGGCTTTTTCTTGAAATCAGAAGTCATTGAACTATTTAATCTACTTACCAATGAAGTCACTGTGACAGGTAATCTAATGATTAAAGACATTTTTTTTTAAGATTTTATTTATTTATTTGACAGACAGAGATCACAAGTAGGCAGAGAGGCAGGCAGAGAGAGAGAGAGGAGGAAGCAGGCTCCTCGCAGAGCAGAGAGCCGGATGCGGGGCTTGATCCCAGAACCCTGGGATCATGATCTAAGCCGAAGGCAGAGGCTTTAACCCACTAAGCCACCCAGGTGCCCCGATTAAAGACATTCTTTAGACAAAACTTAGTTTCACAGGGCAAAGCAAAGGGCTTTTTTAAATCTACAATGGTGTCTGCCTCCCGGCTGCCCCTTATCCAAGTGAAGCCAGCAGAAGAGATTTGTATGAAACACAATGTAAACTATGCCCAGGATATCCCCAGATCCTTCTGATCTCTAGCCTGAATCTCTGAGATCCACACATGCAAGCAAGACGATCTCTGAGCACAGATGAAGTCTGTGATGATAAAGAAGAATTAAAAAGATTATAGCATCAGTCAGAGAGGCAGGTTAGAAAGAAGTGGTGGCGCCTGAAACCTAATTTAGTGAGCATGCCATCTGTGAATCACCTAACCCAAAGAGTTTTCCTACCCAGAGCAGAACACTTGAGGATTGTTTGAGCCTCCTTTATTTTAGGATTTATATAAGGAACAAGGCCTACAGTGGACTTTGGTTCCACATTGTGAGAATTCCCAGCTTGCCCAATGTTGGAGGGAAGTTGCGTTATTATTACAAGTACTCATGGTCTACCAATTGCTCATAGTATACCCAAATTTTAACTAATTATAATCTACTTCATTTATATTACATCAAAATGAATCATGACCAAACTTCTATAAGCATTATTCTTTTCTAATTCCAAAATTAGAATTTCTATGTAGAAAACTTAGAAAATGTCACTCTTAACTGAAGGCATCAAATGATATATCTGATGAAATATGTTATTTTATTTTTATTTATTTTTTTAAAGATTTTATTTATTTATGTGACAGACAGAGATCACAAGTAAGCACAGAGGCACGCAGAGAGAGAGGGGGAAGCAGGCTCCCTGCTGAGCAGAGAGTCCGATGCGGGGCTCGATCCTAGAACCCTGAGATCATGACCTGAGCTGAAGGCAGAGGCTTCAACCCACTGAGCCATCCAGGCGCCCCTATTTTATTTTTAGATAAAGGAGCTTTTTAAAAAAATTTTTATTTATTATTTGAGAGAGAGACAAAGAGCATGAGAGAGAACAGGAATGAGCAGGGGGGTGGAAGGAGAGGGAGAATTAGGCTCCCTGCTGAGTGGGGAGCCCAACATGGGGCTTGACCCCAGGACCCAGGATCATGACCTGAGCCGAAGGCAGATGCTTAACTGATAGCCACACAGGAACCCGCAGATAAAGGAGTTTCTAACATAAAGATATATAAGTACAATTATGTAAATGAAAAGTGTGTAAGCACATTATTTGGCATAAAGAAATTCAAGGACTTTCTTACCTCAAGAATGGGACACATGATTTCTGCTGTGACATCACCATGATTCTTACAGAATTTATAGAATGCCTCGAGGTAAGACTTAAGAAGAAGAAAGATCATAAAACAATAAAATGAAGATATTTTCCTTTGGAAATTTGTAGACCAGCTTTTCATGGCTTATTAAATACTTTAATGGAGCTTGAATTACTTGTCCCATAGGGCGATATATTATTACAAATTTGATACAAACTTTCACATTGAAGCATGCTGCACAGCTTTAAAAAAGAACAAAATTGTATTTATCGTACCTTATGATTCCTTAATAAGCACTTTTTTGCATGGTTCTTGGGTTTATTTCACACGGTTAACTTTTGGTACTCTAATAAGAGTGCCAAGCTCTTTTATGAACTCACCAAGGAGTTCTAGATTTGGTCTTGTGCTGACATTTAATCTCTCTTGGTGCCCAGGAGACATGTTTGGGATGGCTTTGAACGTGGAGGACACACTGGAAGGCAGAGTCTGGGCTAAACAGACTGTTTGCATCCCAACTCAATTACTTACTAGCTAACTCACTTCTGCCAAGTAAATCTTACCTCTCCAGGTCTCTGCTTTCTTATCTGAGGATTGGGGAGAACAGAGAGTTTTGCTGGCTAGATTAGGTGAATTAATGCCTCTAATCTGCTTAGAACAGTGCCTTCTGTTAGCTGTATCTCAAGGATGCCTTCTCTAAGTCCATACATTTCTTCACAAAAAGGAAAATTACCTGCGACACAGTGCTTTTGAAAGGACCATATGTTTTAGCATAGCCAGTTATATAAATGGCATGACAGCATACACTCCTTTAGTTACTCTGTGAGATTGTCCAAAGATTCTATGGTTGTATGAGTGAAAATAGCCAGATTTTGCTCAGCCCAAAGGACATAGAGCTACTCAAATGGTAGCAACATAGTTCAGACCGAGAGCTGGTCAGATTGGCAAGATGAAATTCAAGGAGGACAGAGATGGATACTGTGTAACACAAGGATCACTAGGTATGCTCATTGTTTTATATTTTATTTTTCAAAATTTTTTATTTGTAAGTAATCTCTACACCCAACACGAGTCTCAAACCTACAACCCTGAGATCAAGAGTTGCAGGCTCCACCAAATGAACCAGACAGGCACCCCTGCGGGTTTTTAAAAAATGGATATGGTTCACCTTCCTCATCTGTCCACCCACCCACATCCATCGATCCAACTGCTACCTTTTATGTCCCAGGCAAGGAGCTAGGAATGAAGAGAAGAATGGGGTACATACTTCCTCTCAAAAATCTTGCTGTTTCAGGGGAAGCTGACATTTACGTACTGAACTAGAAGACCAGGACCATAAAAGCTGTATTCCAAGCCCGCAAAGCTTCATAATTGCAGAAATTGGCTAATGGGCAAAGTAACTTTTAATGAAGAACTCTGGTTAAGATGTATTATGTCATAAAGAAACACACAGTATTTTGGGAGACACTTACTTTGTACAGTTTGTTGCGCAGTAATTCAATATTCAGTTCATCAAGGGTATTTTCAGACATACAGTCTTGAAAGAATGGAGCTGAAAGCAGAAATTACCACACAAAATAAATTAATTCAAAGCATGATTATTAACTGTAGAAAAGATTTCCTGAACATCTCACCCTGAGCTCACTCCTGACCAGAACACTGTGCAGTGGCAAGCCACAGACTGGATCCACCTACCAGTAACGATGAGAATAAGAGTCATTATTTACTGAGTATTTACTGTGTGCCAACTGGTCACTGAACACTGCATCTATTTCACCTTATTTGATCCTGACGACACCTCGGAACTATTCACTTTATGGCTTACTTTTTGAAGCCCCCTCCTCACCCCTCATCTCATAGCAGCATTTATCATTTGCAGCCTTACTATGTGCTAAGTATTGAGTTGTACTAAAACTGTGTCCTAATTAGTTTTCAAAGCTCTTTTATACTAAGATACTAATATTTTTAAAATGAGGAAACAGGGGATAATGCACTGCTCTACCTCACCAGGTTGGGACCAGGCAGAGCCTGGAGTCAAATATCCATGATTATAGACTTACCCTCTTTCCACCACACTCCCTTAGCATCACACATTTAATGATGGCCATTTTTTTTTTTTTCTTTTTAAAATTTCTGTTTTTGGGGCACCTGGATGGCTCAGTGGGTTAAAGCCTCTGCCTTCGGCTCAGTTCATGATCCCAGGGTCCTGGGCTCAAGCCCCGTGTCAGGCTTTCTGCTCAGCGGGGAGCCTGCTTCCACCTCTCTCTCTGCCTGCCTCTCTGCCTACTTGTGATCTCTCTCTGTCAAATAAATAAATAAAAATCTTTAAAAAAAAATTTCTGTTTTCAACAGCAAAAATTTTGACACATGGTCAACAGTGAATTGCTATGAATTGCTACCCTCCAGTTTTCCTGACAATAACATATATAAAATGATCCTGCTAGCATTTTGAATGCTAGAAATATTATCAGTGTTAAATTATAATGAAATTAGCATTTATTTCATCATTGCTTCAGGTCATTTGACAGGCGCCCCAAGCATCTCAGAAAAATGGCATTCCTCAACTTCCTTAAAACAAAACACTGCCACGATATAGCTTTATTTAGACAGAAGTTGAAAACCAAAGGATAAGGAATTAATCATATAAAACCAAATTAGAAAATTAATTTTTTTGAAAAATTACAAGTTCTATAATTTATTTACTATGATCTGGCACAACATACAAAGGTTTGGAGGTTGGGAGGTGAGCCCCAGCTCCTACTTAGCTACCAATGGTTCTTATGTGATTCTGGGAAGGTTACTTTCATTTGTTGTCAATGAGGGAGCTGGACTAAATTATTTCTTAATGTCCCTTCCATGCCTAGGAATCTGTACAGTTTGACATCGGGCTCATGGAGAAAAGGAATTGAATGTACATGTTCTGATGACATGCAGAGGGAGTGATATAATTGCTTACATGTTCATACCTAGTGGTGTTTCCACCAGAACAGCATTAAAGAGATCAGAAGGTGTCTCCGCAATGTTGACTGCTTCCATTTCTGTGAAACGGCCCAAAGGGTGGCACTTGACCAGAATTTCTTTCACAGATTTTTTTTGCAATGCAGCATTCATCAGTAGGATCACATTGTCTATCATGTAACTGCACCTGGTTTAGAAAAAGGCTCGAGCATTAGGAAATCAACTGTATGAAAATATGAAACATACCAAAAGTTTAAAAAATATATATATATATATATATATATATATAGTTCAGGCACATACTCTTTCACTATGGAAATATATGAGTCTTCTTTTATTTTAAACTTTGGGGTTTGAGAGCTGTGAAGGGGGTAAAATATCTGACTCTCTGGAGATATCATAGTTTGAAAAATCAATGTTATTGTAACTAAGTAAAGCTAAATAAAACCTAGGCTGGTGGTAATAGGCAGAAAACGACCCATATATTTTAATTGCCAAATGTGGTAGGGTGAGGATGAGTGTGAAATTGTGTATTTTCTCAGAACAGCCTATGATGGGCTTAGGAAGTTGAGAAACACAGATCTGGAGCATTTCACTCTATCTTAAAAACTTACTTTTTAGATTGCAATAAAGCCCAACACTGATTTGGAATTTGAAATATTTTAAAATAAATAAAATACTTATTAAATTTAATATTAAAATATTAATATTTTATTTATTAGAAATTTAAAATATTCCATATTCTTTTCCTCCTATGAAGACTAGGTAGTGAATTTTCTGTTTTCTCCCAAGTTCCCCAAAAGTCCACAGGTTCATATTTTATGTGATTATGTTGCTCAATGTAAGCTCTGTCTGGGATATCCTGGGTGCATATGCTTGTTCAATCATGTGCTCATCGCCCAAGATATTCCAAGCAGTGAGGCTGAGAAGCAGAAGAAAGAGTTCTTTACTTTGCAGAGAATATAGTTTGAGGGAGGAACTTGACAAAGAATCCATTATGGTAAATTGTAACAAAGCACGGATGCTAGACAAATTATAGGGTGGTGTGGAGATTCAGATCGGGGCACCGAAGCAGTCTGGGATCAGACTTCCTAGGGAGTGATATTCAGGCTGAAACTTGTAGAATGAGTAGGAGCGGTCCAGGCAAAAATGGCTGGGAACTGAGGGAGAGAAGTATTCAAGGCAGAAGGAAGAGCATGCAGAAAGCCCCAGAGAAAAGAAGAGAAGAGTTTTCTGCCTGGCACTGGGCAATGCAGGTAGGGCCAAGGCTGAGCATGCAGGGTTTTGACAGACAAAATGAGGAATTGGGGGGTGGAGGGCGATGGAAGATTCTGAATGCCTTTAAACAGAAGCGGGTGTTATGATCTTGCAGAATAATGATTTGAACAGGAGAAGGGATAAACAGTGAGGTGCTTCACAAAACTTATTTAATCAGGATAACAACACTATGATGATAATAGGTACTGCTCTTCTCTCCACTTTATAAATGAGGAACCAGACGGGCCCAGAGAGGTAAAAATTCCACTCATGGTGACACAGCTAACAACTGAGACAACTGAGAAACTCAAGCAGTCTGCTTTTGGAATCTTCCTCTTAGCCCTTATACTATGCTGGGTTTGTTTCGCTGTCAAGGATGATCCATAGGTTTCTAGGTTTAACAGATCGTGAAGCCATTTACTGAGATGAGAGCATTAGAGGATGAGCAGGCTGTAGTGAGAGCAGATGCTTTGGACAGAGTGAGCTTAGATGCCTGTGAGATATCTAAGAGGAGATGCTAAATAGGTTTCAGAAGTCAGAGTCCTGAAGACAGCCAGGACCAGACATTTGGGGGGTTTAGTAGCATAAGTTTAATGGTGGAAGCAGAAGTCTTGGGATGGTTGGGATCACATCTTAGAGTGCACATGAAGAGTTCTGCACTGAGAACCCTGGAGAACCTCAAATTCGAGGACCTTAATGGAACCTGAGAAGGAAAGACCAGAGAATAGGAGGAAAACCCGGGGGTGGGAGGGAATTTTAGAAATTCTAGGAAGAAGTGGCCAGAGCTTCAAATGCCACAAGAAAGTCAAGGTAGACACTGAAATGTCCATAAGATGCAGCAACTTACAGGTCATCTGTCAACAGTCAAAACACTTCCAGGACAGTTTATTAGTGGAAGGGAAAGGGGAGATGGTGGCAGAAATGTGACTTGTGTATTTAAAGTGACCAGGAAGTAGGGGCGCCTGGGTGGCTCAGTGGGTTAAAGCCTCTGCTTTTGGCTCGGGTTATGGTCCCAGGGTGCTGGGATCAAGCCCCACATCCGGCTCTCCGCTCAGCAGGGAGCCTGCTTCCTCCTCTCTCTCTGCCTGCTTCTCTGTCTACTTGTGATCCATCTGTCAAATAAATAAATAAAATCTTTTTTAAAAAAATAAATAAATAAAGTGACCAGGAAATAAAGAGGTCTAAAAAGAAAAAAAGAGTTCAAACTACAAACTGACCTTAAAGGAAGGGAAAGATATCTCCGTGGAGACCCAGGGGCCAAGGGGCTTTGAACTTTGGTCTTTTTTTGTTTTGTTTTTTAAGATGGGAGAGAAGAGAAGGTGTTCCAGTGTTGTGAAGAAAGGAGGAGCTGAGAGGGTGAGGTTTTGGATCAAGACACTGAAGGGGCTGTCACCTGAGGAGCTGAGGTCCTTCAGGTCTGACAGTGATGGGACAAACCACAGCCACAATGCAGGCTTGAAAAACAACCAGGTAAAAATAAGCCAAGCCCCTTACAAGCACTGTCACTGGAGTCCGGCAGCATGGGTCACAGACCTTGCGCGCAAGACTGCATTTCCAGCTGGAAGAGAGTCTCCCTCATTGTGGACCTTCTACAATTTACTCCAATAAAAAATTCTATCTGAAGAAATTTAGAAGCAGGCAATTATCCCTTTACAAAAGGCACATGACTCTAAAAGTTTCTTCATCTCCCAAACAGCAGTACCAAATTTAGCCATTATAGAATTTTAGACTCCTTTTTATCTTTTGAAAATGATATTAAAAAGGAAGTGCTTATTTAACTGTCCCTTTATGGCTCAAAAGCTATTACCTGAGAGGAGAATCGCTAGCACTTAATAATCCTTAGCAGGCTCCAGACATTTAATTGTTCCCCACAGCACCTCTGTAATATAAAAGCTTATGAGCTGTCAACATTTGCAACTTGCAGAGGACTATTAGACAATGCTGACGGGAGCCAGAGTCTATGCTATACGGATTTAGCCCACATGTAACACTCATGCCTATGTCTTTGCAGTGTGTGTGCCCATGTCTGTATTGAGTTAAACATTCTTTTCAGGGGCATCTGGCTGGCTCAGTCCATAGGGCATGAGACCCTGATCTCGGGGTCTTGAATCTGTGCCCACATTGGGGGTAGAGTTCACTTAAAAAATAAAAGAAAATAGGAATCAAAAAATATTTTTTACTAATAGGCTAGACTCTATATATTGCAAAAAGCAAGGACTATAGGGCCTGGATTCTGTTTTATTTCTACTCACTATTTAAATTGCTTTGTTTCTAAGAAGGAATAGTGACACCAGTTCTCGTAATGTTGTTCAGGAAATGGAGTGAAAACGCAGGACTCAGGCCATGGCGGGAGGCAGAAGGAGTCCTGTCTCCTTCCTCATCCACATTACACGTATGCACTGGGTATATAATTCTCGTTGGCTCTCTGGGGTGGCAGGGGGGTGATGCGGCCAGAAACGGTTTCCTTACTTCTGCCTATAAACTTTGTAGACCCTCAGAGCCACACACAGAGCGGTTAGGAATAAAATCACTGCTGATCTTGCTTGAGTAATTTTTGAGTTTAAAGACAGCGGGGCAAAAAAAAAAAAAAAAAAAAAAATCTTTAAAGACAGCGGGGCGTTCCACTAGTTCAAAGTCCTCATGTTTTAGATAATCGTGCTCATATGTAGTGACAGAGCCAGGAGGAGCTGGGCTAATTTTTCTCTCACTAGTGGTCTGGACAAACACCCTCATTTATAGCCCCTGCTAAATATTTTATTCTGTAACTCTAATACTGGCACCTGTGAAAATCATGAAGTTCCCCTAAAACTGGGATGCAGTTACTCCAAAAATTTTAGGCTGTAAAAACTGTAATTTTTAAAATGCCAGCCCTCTTGGAGGTTTTTCCTGTGGGTCAGGCATTACATGTGTGTTCTCATGCAAGCCTCACAACTCAATACTGTAAGGACTGCTATCACCACCACTTTAAATACCTTGTCCAAGGTCACACTGTGAGAAAGGCAGAGCTGGCACCCCAAAGCCAAAACTCCGGCTCCTACCAGATTTGGAAAAAAAACAGCTCAAGGCAGGTGATATTTTAACATTTCTTTTTGATCTTAGTGCTGTTCTTCCTCTTTTTTGCCCCTGAACTTATTTAAGGATCTTGAAGCTAACTAAAATACATTTCCTGTATACTAACTATCCAATTCTGGGCTGATACAACAGCAGCTGAATGGTCAGATAATGCAGAGCCATAATTTGGTGAGTTAGAGAAATTATTCTTCAGCTCTAGTCAAAACCTCTCTGCCCAGCCCAGATCCAGACTCTTTTACTTCCTCCTTGTGGCCCTGACTGCCTGGTTTTCTTATAGACACCTCAGTTACATTATCTCAAAACATAAAGCAAAGATTTCTCATCATTGTATGCAAAGCTCTCTATTACTTGGCTTCTGATTATTTCTTCAGCTATGGATGTGAATAATACCATTTTTTTAAAAGTATGCATTTTAGGGGCGCCTGGGTGGCTCAGTGGATTAAAGCCTCTGCCTTCAGCTCAGGTCATGATCTCAGGGTCCTGGAATGGAGCCCCGCATAGGGCTCTCTGCTCAGCAGGGAGTCTGCTCCCTCCACCCCCACCTGCCTCTCTGCCTACTTGTGATCGCTGCCCATCAAATAAACAGAATCTTTAAAGAAAAAAAAGTACGCATTTTAGAAAAGTGAATAGAACAGACCACCCCCAAATTCTTAAGGGGCAGGAAGAAGACTTTGCAAGGAAGACTGAGGAAGGGCCAGAATGGAAAAAGGAGCAGAAAGAGAAAGTGTCATCCCAGAATGCATGGGACAAGGACATCAACAACTGAATACAACAGCGAGTTGTGGAAGGGCTGAAAAATATATCCACGTGACCTCGCAACCAGAGTGGTTTGAGGGGTACAATGAGGAAGGAAACAAG